GTAGGTTACTTTAGTATCATGTTCAATTAGATTTCGTTTTGTTACTGAGATTGGAATTGTTCTGGATGGCTTTAGCCTGTTATAGACTGTTTTGAATTTCACAAGGTATCTAGTGATAATAGGTTATTTTTGTTTAAGAATAGTTGTTTAAGTTCCATTTGTTCAATAATTTCAGTAGGTTCAATGGTAAATTGTTCAATAGACTGTTAATTCAGGTCAAAGAACTAAAATCAGAAATTTCCGGTAATACTTGTTTTGCGTTAAAATCAGAATTCAGTCCAGTAGTGAAAAGATTGGCCCATTATTTGTTGAATTGGTATCTTTTAATTATAATTTGAGTTCTTGTGAGTGAGACTCACGCTAAGGCCCAAAATTGTTATAAGTCCAAAAATCCTTTAAACTATATTAGGAATATGGGGATTAATTTGCAAATATAAATTTAGGTTCTCGAGTTAAGTAGCGGGTTCAAATTAGGAGGGTTTCCCCTTTTGTTTGAGTTCGGACTTGAACTCGAGGCCCGAATTTATTAAATTAATTAGGCCCTGTTAGAGACAAAAATAAATAGAAAATCTTAGTTTGCTTTAGGATGGCCCTTAAATAATAAAATTGAGATGAGCCTCGCCAAACAAAAATGCATGAATTGCGGGGCCCTCATTAAATGTAATTAAAAAATACTTAGAAATTGGGGTGTGCCATTTAGCGAATTTCACGGCCCTCCGCAAAGTTAATAATACGTTAGTTGCTTTAAGCGCGCTTTTTAATAATCTTACCTTCTTAAGTACGGGTGTGCATTTCATGCAACCCAAATCCAAATCCAAAAACGTTGAATAAAAATGTGTCGAAGATCCGGGTGCATTTCATGTGACGTGATCCGAAAACACGTTTTTAAACGACGTTCACTTTCTAAAAAATTTTTTTTAGCTAAAAGCGGTTAAATAATTCTAAAATTGCACTATAGGTTTGAACCTGTATAAAAATCAGATTTTAGCCATTTATAATAATTTAAGCGACCGTGCTAGAACCACGGGATCCGGGGGTGCCTAACACCTTCCCTCGGGTCAACAGAATTCCTTATTCAGAATTTTTGGTTCGCAGACTCCAATTGGGAAGTCGAAATTTTCCTCGATTTGGGATTTAAATTAAATCGGTGACTTGGGACACCCAAAAGCCAATCCTTTCCCAAGTGGCGACTCTAAAATATAAATAAATAATCTCATTTCGAATAATGCCACTTTAATTGGAAAAACTCCCTTATACATTTATCCTTCGGGGTAGGAGTGTAAAAAAGGAGGTGTGACACCAACCTGCACGTCCAAGTGAAATGCGCCTTGCTTCCGTTCAAGGTGCCTTTGTCAACCCCACACAGTACGTCGTGTCAAGCTGCACATCATGATGTTGCCCCATTTTTCAGGTTGTGTGCCAAGGCCATCATGAAAATCCTTGTCACAACCCACACCTGCCAAGGAACTTTGTCAAGGGGCTAACAAACCATCCCCATCCGAAGAATTTGTCGTCCTCGACAAAGCAGTTTTCGCATTTTTCAGCACCACTATAGGCCCTAAATATGCCGCCTGCTGCTCCTTTTCTTCCTCGTTTGGCTCATCTTCACTCTTTTCTTTAGCAAACAAAGTAGAAAGTCGTACAAGTTTTGGACAGTCCCTCACCATGTGTGGTCCTTTGCAAATAAAACAGCCATCAAACTTGCTGTTTTGTCCCTTGTTTGTCGAAGGTCCAGCACATTGCTTTTCCTTTCCATTACCATTGCCCTAAACAGCATTACCCTTGTCGTTTCCGTTTTTCCTCCACTCTTTTGCCTTGTCATTGTTCCCGTTTGTAGACTTTGAAGTAGTAGAGAAATCAGAACCAGCTTGTCCCAGCCGGAAAGCACCCAACGCATTCGCAGTAGCGATGGCACTAGGAAGGTCTTTCACGTTTTGCCTTCGCAATTCCATCTGCACCCACAACTGCAACCCGTAAAGGAAATTGTGCACCTTGTCTTCCTCAAACATGTTGCTTATATCCAGCATCAAAGAACTGAAATCTTTGACATAATCCTTGACCGTTCCAGTTTGTTTTAACTTCTTCAAATGATCTCTAGCAATCCAGCCCGCGTTGCTAGGAAAGAATTGATCCTTCGGCTCTTTTTTCAGCCCTTCCCAAGAGTCAATTTTCGGCCTACCAGCACTTACATCATCTGTCACGCGCGTCCGCCACCAAATCTTTGCATCGTCCACCAAGTACATAGTCATAGTGGTGACCTGTCTTCATCTCGCACATGGGCAGCCTGAAAGTACTGCTCCATATCCCACAGGAAATTTTCGAGTTTCTTCGCAGTCCTTGCACCATTAAACTCTTTAGACTCCGGAATTTTGACCTTGGTATGATTTGCCCCACGCTGTGCTTCATCAATGCCAACAGCACAACGCAGTAACACATTTTCCGCTTTCAGATCTGTGCACTCTTGGCTCAGCCTGTTCATCTCGGCCTCAAGATAGGCAAGACGAGTCACAATGGTCAGAAAGTGATCCCCATCAACAGTTCCGACGAGTGCCTCCAATGCTGTAACCTTTTCCTTCAGTTCCGTTGCCACCATCCATCCTTCACAAAATTCAACCAACGAACGTCTTGTCTTCGCCCCGATCCAGCCCCACTCTGATACCAGTTATCACAGGGGTGATTTATGTCACTCGAATTCTGCCCGAGGTTCACCTCCGTGCGGCAGTCAAGCCCAGCCTTGACTTCAGCCTTTCCAACACTAAGATTTATTTAGGGACGTTTGAGACTTAGACAAATTTAGGTAGCAAGTAAAGTAAAAGGCACACACAAAATCTACAGGAATTTCTTCCCAACTCCTATTAATATGTGAACACAAGAACACAAGCCAACCCTATGGCCAAGAACAAAGAACACACTAGTTCCCTGCCCCGAAAATGATTTCCTACCCTTAGGAAAACACTTATACGAAATTGGCTAACACTTGCCACAAGACTAAGTTTTTCTGCCTCTTTGGGACAACCTATGCACATATTTATAGTGTTGTTGCCCAATTACACTTGGCCGGATTTAGACAATCAGTTGACAAACCCAACTGATGGGCAAACATGCTAAGACAAATACAAAAACATGCCCACACTTTTAGCCCATGATCAGCCATGTTTTGGATGTGATTGTAACCACCAACTACCTCCCACGTGCCTTGCACACATTTTGCAACTGCTGCCTGTGCACTGCATGTGCCTGTTTTGCCCACCTGCTACGTGCCCAAGGCTGGCACTGCGCCCAGCCTTGCCCTTTGGCATTGCTCCGCACCAATGTCATGGCCACAGCTTGCCGCTCACTGACTTAGCCACACACGCTCATCGCCACAGCTGCCCGCTTATGTCAAGTCGCCCTCAACTTGATCAAATATGCCCGCATCAATTGTCATTGCTTGTCCCGCATTGCTTTGCCTTGTCTTGCCATGTCATTGCCCCTGCTTTGACATGGCTTTCCCTTGCCATTGTTATGCCAACCCGCACGTCCAAGTGAAATGCGCCTTGCTTCCGTTAAAGGTGTGTTTGTCAACCCCACATAGTCCGTCATGCCGAGCTGCCATCATGATGTTGCCCCGTTTTCAGGATGTGTGCCAAGGCCATCATGAAAATTCTCGTCACAACCCACACCTGCCGAGGAACTTTGTCAAGGGGCTAACACTAGCCATGTGTCGTAGTTGTATTTTACCAATACAGTTCCCTAGTATATGCCTCAGTGAATCCTATGTTGTGCCAACTGAGTAAACCCCAGAGGAAGATGTTGTCCATATTGGATAGACTTCCGCCACATTCCTGGTGGAACCTGAAAATAAATTAGGCTCCTCTACCAATTGCCATTTTGAAGCACCTTATTTAGTTTAATCATGTTTGGCCTAGATATTTTTGGTAGATGTTTGTAGAGAGGACCTAAGGAAGTCCAATTACCATACCAGAAAGTATATTGCCTTTTCCCACATGCTATCGAATTTTTTGTTCCATATCATTCTTCATATCACACATAGCCTTCCATACATGAGACTGCCCATTGTACCACCTCTTTATCACTGGATAAGATAGATTGTCTCCACAAGAATTCTTGAGTTTTAAACCTCACCGTAGTTTGGAGGTAAAAGCTATTATTAGCATCTTCAAAAGTTCAAAAGATTAAATATTCACAAAAGCTTCCATATAATAGAATAGCAAAATGTTATTGGAACATCTCACTGTGGTTCAAGAATATACTATGAACACAAGACGAAGAAGAACTTTAGTTGAAAGTCGGTAACTCACTACCATGTAAGAACTTATGAACAACTGCCAATTGATTCTGAGTTTGTTGTTGATTGGTCTCCACAAATTGCTGAGGTTTTACAAGTTTCTCAATACGTTGTTGGGACATATTATTGCTAGAGCCACCAAATTCACATGACTAGTTGGATGTCTAGACTCTGGACATTGCAAAAACAGTGGAAGGGTAAACTCTACCACCTAAATCCTATGTTGCGCGGACTCTCGAAAATGCTGCCGCACCCGTGTCGGATCCTCCAAAAATACACTACTTTTGGAGGATCAGACACGCACCCAGTGATATTTTCGGAGAGTCCGAGCAACATAGCCTAAATCTGCTGCTTCGCTCCATATACTTTTTTAATTGTGTCTTTTGGGTAAACATTTGATAATTTCATTTATTAAAATCTTAGTTTAGCAGCATCTAGTCGATAATCTTTTGGTGCTAGAAAAATTTAACATTGTAGCATAACTACACCACTAAAAAAGAGCATCTTCTATGCAGGCAGAAATCTCATGCTAACATATGTGCAAATATTTTAGAAAAAAGAGACATTGAAATGGCTTATTTCCTCAAGTTTTATGTCAAATGACATATTCATAATATAAAAAATAGAGTCATAAGCATTATCGATGCAATAACATCACAGATTTTTTAACTAAAATAACCAAACAAGCAATGCTCTCAAGATTTTGGTAATATCATGCCATAGTTGTAGTGTCATCAGATCCATTTAGCAGGGGATTTACCACAGCTCCAGTGAAAAGTAGTGACCTTGTAGTCTCTTCTCTAATCATGAACAAGAAGGGATGATCAGCTACGAATTTTTTTGGAGGACTTTGATACAAACAACATCCCAACTCATCTTCTGACTCAAAAGTAACAGCAGCTGCCTCAGTACCTTTCTCATCAATTTCTACAAATGCTTTCTGTATTATCATGGACACATACAAATAAACATTTTTATTTTCCACAACCTCTGTTAGATCCATGCAAGTCATGTCGAAAGGTAGTGTCATTCCCATTTCCTGCATTGTTTTTTTCCCTTCTTCTGTGGTGAATGAGAATTTGAACTTTGGGATGTAAAATGCATCAAGAGTTTCTTTCCATAGCTCGAAATCTTGTGTAAAAAAGTTTGAATCAGAGTTCACTTTCTTCAATAAGCTTGGCAATCCGTCCCTTTCATTAGGAAGAAAGAAGTACATGGAGAAGTCTTTTTTATCATCTTTTCCTTTTTCATAAGGAATTTTCACTGCTTGATAACTTTCAAATGATCCATATAAATAATTATGACAACCAGTCATGAAAGGAACTGAAACCTTGTCTCCATTGAGTAGGTAAAAATCTTTGTTCTGAGTGAGCCTTTCAATAAAATTGTCTTTCCATCTACCTTTGAAATATAAGGCGTTTCCAAGTAAGAGCTTTGTATCTTCCTTGATGTGCTTGGGCTTGAGAACTTGTTCAATAAGGCCTTTTGTTGCAGACTTGGTGTTTAACCAAAAATTAGATTTTAGGTCAAAGCTTGAATTTAGAAGAACTCGGATTACTGATAATCGGAAAAGTATATAAGAAAGAGATTTTGAATGATATAATCAGAAAGCAAAAAGAACAAAGTTTATTCCAGTAATATTTTCTCGTGTCCTACAGATGTTGTGACTTTCTCCTTTTATAGTTAATTTTAAGAGAAAGTGTAATGCCTTTGTCTTAATGAGGCAATTACGAGCAATAAATGACATTAAAAGAAACGTTACTCAATCATTCATATTAAATACAAATTCTCTAACGTATTTGGCATTTAATACTGAATTTGGACTCTTTTTTGCTATCAGATTCATGTCTTCAATTCCTTCCGATCTTCGAGCTTTAAATGACTCGAACAGGTACGAGTCTCGTTTCATTTGAATAATAGCTCGTGCCTTTAAGTATCTTCTCTCCCGCATATGTTGTTGCTCGTGCCTTCTAACAGATTACCACGCTTTGACTATTTGACCGGTCCACGTGTCATGACATGTCATCTTCAATATTTAAATTCAGTTTTTTCTCAATACAGATAGTCCCCCCACTTTCCATTTATTTATCAATTAAATATTTGGGAAGTGGATCTTCATTAAAAAGGGAATTTTTGCCATAATCAATGCTATGACAGTACTAACGCTTCAGTTGTCTTTTCTATTTAATGCATTGCATACGTGTCACCTTCTCATTAGCTCTGCAATTTCTGCAGCCTTTTTTCAAGGCTTCATCAACTCCACTATTCACGAAGTGATAGTTGCCTTTATTATAGGCTTTCCATCATTACACTTCTTAGTCTTTGACGGTCGCTTTTATATAAACTTAACCCTTCTTCCACAAATTTTTACCACGGTCGCCCATCAGTATAAATTCAATTTTTCCTTTCACCTTTTACCACATAAAACTTTTTCCTTGAACGCTTGAATTATGTGAATCTCTGTTTACTTCTTTCTCTTCTTCATCATGTCTTCTTCGAACCCTAACCCTAAGAGAGTTCCTATTTTAGACAATTTTCCCAATGCTCCTGTTAGACATAGAAGAGGTGGGAGACTTCGTAGTTTAGGATCCTCTCGTGGTGGTGGTTCTACCATGCCTTCTCCTAGCCCTGGTTCTTCCTCTAGAACTAGAGGTTCTTTTTCTCAAAAATCATCTTCTAAGAGCAAGGAGGCCTCTGAACCATTACAGGAACCCTTGGTAGAAGAAATAGTTCCTAACGATTTATCTTGTCAGCATGATAGACAATCACTTCAGACCCAAATTTCTGGTTTGGATCGTGTTGATGCTTACCCCACTATGATTACAGAGATTTTAGCTCCCATAGTTCGCAAAGATTGTCACTGGAGTAATGATTTTCCCATTGTAATCCCCAATCCAAATCAGAGGATTACTTCATATATGATTGGATTCTCTTTCGTTTACACATACCCTTTTACTCTTGGGTTCAAACCAGCTATTGACCCAGTAATTCTCGATTTATGTCGTTTCTTCAAAGTTTGTTTAGCACAGGTTGGCCGGCTTGTATGGAGGGTTGTTGCTTGATTAAGGCATCTGGCCAATTTAGCAGACTTTGATTTTACCTTCTCCCACCTGATTCATCTATACTCCCTTAGACTTTTTCGTATTGGCGTCTTTACCTTAGTAGCTAGGAGTAAGAGAGTTTTGGTAAGCCCAGAAGATGATAAGGATCGTGGCTGGTATGCCCGATTTGTTGCTGCTCCCACAGTTGGTTTAGTGGGTGAACAAAACGTTCCCTTCCCTGAGAGGTGGAATTTTGCACGTAAGTCTTTCATCTCTCCCGTACCTCTTTCTTTTGAGTTTACAAATTTCTTTAACTTTGTTTCTTTTTTTTTCCTTTAGCAACCATGGGAGTTGTGGAGAACATTCCCAATTTTCGTGGTTGGGTAGATAAATTGTTGAAGATTGCTCCTATGGAGGCTAGGTCTTGGAAATTTATTTCCAATCGTCATGATTGGAAAGTAAAGACTCACGGTATGAGTTTTTGTCTTTCTTGTATGTAAGATATTTCTCTTTATTGCCTTAACTTTTAATTTTCTCTTTGTCAGTTTTGCTATTCGAGGTGTTACTGCTGAAGCAGTTGCAGCTTCTCGTTTAGGAACTCAACTTTCTTTAGAAATTGCTCAGGATATTCTTCTGAAAAGAAAAATCGCAGACGATGATAGCTCCGACGAAGAAGAGGAGGATGGTTCCTTGGTGAAAAGGCCAAGAGTTCGGAGACGTATCGTCTCTGATGAAGCTGAAGTTTCTCATCATCTTTCTCCAACCGGGCCTGTTAATCTCGTCTCTGACGATGATGTTGCTACCCTTCCTAATACTCATGAGTCGATTAACAAGCTTTTCATTAGTGGTTTTGAGAGTGGCGAGTTAGGACCCGTTTTGGATGAACCTCCCCTATCTTCTTCTTTAACTCCCATACCTTTAGTTCCTTCCCTTCCTTCTTCTGCCGTGCCTTTGGTTCCTTCCTTATCTGCTCCAACTTCTTCCGTGCCTTTGGTTCCTTCCGCATCTGCTCCAACTTCTTCTTCACCTCCCGTTGCTGTTTTCACTTCTTCTACCGCTCCTCCTTCTACTGTTCACAATGTAGAAGCGGGTTCTACAAGCAAAAGGATTGCTATGAGGAGCGTGACTATCGAAGTGCCTGCTAACAACAGCCTTTTGAGGAAATCCGGTCAGGCGGATGTTTGACTTGAACCCTTAATAGGCCCAATTGAGAAAGAAAAAATGAATAGCCATAGCTGCCTGACTCTGATGAACGACATAGTTCATTGCACCTTGAAGGTATGCCCCTTCTTTCCTTAATTTTGCCAGAATTTTTCTAGAATTCTAATTTTTCTTTCCTTATCATTTTCAGGCCAACCTTATTGGTACAGAGCTGATGAGCAGAATTTCTTTATTAGAGAAGGTGGCACGTGACTCTGAAAAGGCTGTTCTTGATTCAGAGAGGGAAGCTCGTGACTTTCAGTTGGAAGCAGCTAATTGGAAGGACCAATTTGATAGTGCTCAAATAACAATAGAAGATTTACAAGAGAGCAGGAATAACCTGGAACAGCAGGTGAGAGCATTAACTTCAGAGCTTGCGGTTGTTAAGGCTTCTTCAAGTCAGGCTGAGAAAGAAAGAGAGCGCCTCGAGTCTTCTTTCTCAGAACAATTATCTAAATCAAGTGAAGAGATTAGAGAGTTGAGAGCTCTTTTAAGTCAAAAAGAAGTTTATGCTGGAGATTTGATGCAGAATTTGACTCAAACCCAAGAAAATCTGCGAACTTCTGAAGACCAGGTGAAGGCCTTAGAAAAATCTCATGCCTCTCTCCAAGCCTCTTATATCTCAGCTCTGAATGAAAATGAGAGTCTCAAAAATGAAATTGTTTCTTGGGAAAGAGATTATGAGCTTCTTGAAGATAAGGCTGCGGTTGATGTAGGCTGGGCTTTTCTGAACTCCCGTCGTGATGCCTTAGTTGAAGCCAGCCAAGAAAACTTTAATCTGGAGTCAGAGTTAGCTAAGGTGATGGAAACTATTGAAAAAGCTCAACAACCGTTGGACTTCCCTTCTCCCGCGATTGAAGTTTCCGAAGCTGAAGCTACTGGAGTCGATGTTCCCGTGACCGCTGGAATTGCCTCGGGTGATGCACCCTCTTCAAGCTCAATCGTGCCCCTTACTGCAAGTCAAGTTGAAACTTCATCTATTGATACTCCAATGGTTGGAAATCAACCCACTTCCATTGGTGATGCTATTCCAGTTGGGCACGCTGATGATCCTCCTTCAATCCTTTCCTCTCAGTAAAAATTTTCTATCTATTTTTGAATTCCTTTTTGCAGGTACCTATTTGGAAACAGTATTTAAAGCTTTTGGGTTCATTTGAGAGTTTTTGTAATCAAACCCTTGGCTACTATTTGAGGGTTGATTTTTGGAAATACACGTCCCCAAGTCTTGTTATGGGGCATTTAGTATAAACAATTTGATGACTAAGTTTATACTTAGTCTTTAGTTTTAAATATTAGGAAGCTTTTATTTATCATTGCACTTCAGTATGTTCTATCCTTGCCTTTTTATTTTTAAGGACTTAAAGAATAGTCTGCATTTTTGTTCTTTGAAAATGCTTCTGTTAATCCCATGAACAAATAACATGAGTTTTATAAAAGAGGGCCCTTTTATATTTTGACACTTAATGAAGAAGACGTCTCAACTTCATAATGGTGTGATCATACGATAAAAGAAATAGGAACACACATGTTTTTTGCAATAACTTTGACAAGTTTTTATTTCTGAACTTTGACAAGTTTTGAGTAATAGTTTACATGTATTTGAATTATATCTATAACTTTCTCGCAACTGTTTTCCTTGTAACAGATTTATACAAAAGAAGAACAATAGATACGGGGTTTTTCCTTATAACCCGCTTTAGTACATAGTCCTTTTAGCTCCAGAACATTAGGAAGAGTTTGAGAGATGGCTCCATTGTTCTTATGAGAAAGAATACTATGATGAGTGCCATTGTTCTCATGGGAAAGAATACTATGATGAGTGCCATTGTTCTCATGGGAAAGAATACTATGATGAATGCCATGACTTCGTAACTTTCACTACGTACTTGATTCTTCTAGGCTTGATTTTCTAAATCTTCTATGCCTTTTTGATACACGTGAATGTATATACTATGTAGTCCCCAAGTGTTTGAGTGTTGAAGTATGAAGCCTCGAGCACTTAGTAGTCTCCTTCACCTAGTCCTTTTCCTGAAAAGGAAATACATACGGGACTCGGGGGTGCGATTATAGATGA